CAAGATGACCAAACTTTGTCTCTCATATTTCGGACATCTTGTCAGGAGGGACCAGTCACAAGAAGGATATCATGTTTAGTAAGGTGGAGGGTCAGAAAAAAAGAGGAAGACCCCCAACGAGATGGATTGGCCAAGTGGCAGCATCGATGGACTCAAACATGGCAATAGTGGTGAGGTTGGCCCAGGATGGGGCAGTGTTTCATTCTGCTGTGCATAAGGTCGCTATGAGTCAGTACTGACTCGATGGTACCTAACAACAACAACCTGTGTTTAAAACCTCGCTCTAACACTGGGTAGAGGATCCATTGGAGGGTGCTGGAGTGGAAGCAGGGAGACCAAAGAAGGAGCTGTTAGAGGTTTCCTGCAGTGTTTTGGCTAGGGTGACAGCCAGGGAGATTGAGGACAACGGATGCGTTTGAGATGTGTTAGGGATGAGAGATTGGGTCAGGTGAAGTGTGGGCGAGAAAAGCTTGAGTGTTTACTATGGAGGAGTCTGGTGTGGGGGTGGGGGTAGTGTCATCAGGGCCTTGGACCTCACTTTCATCCTGTCAGCTTTAGTTAGCAAATTTCTGGAGTCCCAGGAGGGAGGGAGCCCCATGAACCATAGCTGCCTCTGCTGGCGAGTGAGTGTCACCCCTTTTCTGTGTTCAGATACCTGTCTGAAGAGGAGGTGCTGGACACCGAGAATCCGTTTGTGCAGCTGCTTGGCGGGGTGGTGTGGCTGATCCGCAATGGAAGCATCTACATCAATGAGAGTCTGGCCACCGAGTGCGATAAGACACAGGAGACTGGTGTGTATGGGGCAAGGGAGGTGAGGCACGGGACTATTGGCAGTAGCTCTCTTGAGTCTTCAAACAAATGCTTCGAGAGCATCTACTTTGTTTGTTAGTCTTTAAAATTGTGTTTACAGAGCAAATTGGTTTTCCATTCAGCAATTTGTACACATTTTGTTCCTAACATTGTTTGCGATCCCCACAATGTCACAACACTCTTCCCACGTCCTCCCTATGTTTCCTGACTCTATTCATCCTTCTTCCCTGTCCCCTCAACCTTCTAGCTTTATCCCTGTGAAAGTGCCGCCCTTTTCATCTCACCTGGTTGATTGCTATAAGGAGTGTTTAGGTGAAAGTTGAGCCATGCAGATGAGTTCAGTTCCAGTCTTGAAGGGTGGCTAAGGGTCATAGAACCAGAAAGAAGTTTAGTTTTTTTAATGATTCTGAGTTTTGTCTCACATTATTCTCCCATTCTACCCTGTTGTAGGATATTCTGTTCTTTTGTGATCTTTTCCAGAGCATGCTGTGGGAGCCAGGCACCATCTTAGGCTCTGGTCTCAGGGTCATGGAGGTTGGGGTTTGTGAGGTCCATTAGTCCCTTGGACTAATTGTTTTCCTGTGTCTTTGATTTTCTTCACTCTGATTTGCTTTGCATGGGGAGAGACCAGTAGTTGTAGTTTGGACTGCCGTTAGGCAGCTACTTTGTAGCTGGCATTGTTCTAGGTTTGTTGTTGTTGTTAAGTGCCGTCGAGTCGGTTCCGACCCATAGCGACCCTGAACAGGGTTTCCGAGGCTATACTGGGTACAGGAGGTTAAAACAGGAGATTCCTGCTCTTACTGAATCTATAATAAGAAACGTAGAGTTTATACATTACATTGATATAAACCAAAACCCACTGCCATCCATCGATTCTGACTCATAGCATCCTTGTCGGGCAGAGCAGAACTGCCCCGGGGGGGTTTCTCAGGCTGTCTGTCTTTACGATTGCCTCATCATTCCCCTATGGTATAGCTGGTGGGTTTGAACCATTGGCTTTTTGGTTAGCAACCAAAACACTTAAGCCACTGCATCACTGGTACTCAGTTTACTAAAAGGGAAAGATTAATGTTAAGACAAGAGGTGATGTGACGGTTTGTGTAGCTGCTAAGCAGGTGCGGTCTGAGAGTGGGGGCAGGGAGCCCGGGATGGAAATGAAGAGGTGCCGATTGTTCATAGAGCAGGATCACCGAGAGCCCGTTAGAAGTGCAGAGTCTCCTTGAAGGACCTCTAGGTCAGTTGTGGAAACACAGTCCGTAATTATACATTGTGCATCCTGGTTTGGTTTGTGACATCTAGGGTCTTTAACCTTGCAAGCAGTCACCTAAGAAGCAGCTATTCGTCTCTTTCCACCTGGAACAAAAAAGAATTAAAAAAAAAACAAAAAACAAAAAACAAAGACTCAAGGCAGCAATAAGTCCAAAGAACCATAGCCTCTTCTAACCTGAGACCCCAAAAGACTACCACCAGCTACCACCATCAATCACTGTGACCAGGACCATAATACGGGTCCCCGTTAGAACAGGTGAAAAGCATAGAACAAAATTCAAAGTTAGAAAAAAAAAAAGACCAGATTTACTGATCTGAATGAGAGTGAAGGAACTCCGAGACTTTCGTGTTAAGATAACTTTCTAACTTGAAACTGAGGACTGTCCTGGAGGACACCTTTCAGACACTTGATAAATGGGCCCATAAGGTAAATACTGACATGCCGGAGGATACGAGACCAAAAGGATAACATTTGCCCTAAACCAAAGATGAGAAGGCAGGAAGGGACTGGAAAACCAGACGGACGGATATGGGGAGTCCAGGGTAGAAACTGGGAGTGTGTTGATGCATTGTGAGGATTGCAGCCAATGTCAGGGAACACTTTGTGTGTGACTGAGTGAATTATGTAAACTTTCACCTACAGCACAATAAAGTGTTCAAATAAAAACAAGAAATGCAGTGACTCGGGCCTCCTGGGTACAAGAGTGCGTTTTAACCAGGGTGGTTCTGCTGGACACTTGAGTGTGAGAACTGGTAAGGTGAAGAGCAGGCTACATTAGACTGGACAGTCCTGAGACGTCTCATTAAGGCACTGACTTCTGTTAGACAGGAACTATTCAAACAGCTTAGGGAATGGGGCTCACCCAGCCTGAGCATGCAAAGGCCTCCGGACAGAAAGGGATTGTGGGGACAAGCAGCAGGCCAGAGCAGGGTCATGTAAGCGTGGGGTGGGGGGTGGGGGTCATATGGTTTTTACCAGGAGGGTTCGCCTGCTCTACTGAGCCTGGATGGGCTCAGGCAAAGGGGAGGGAGGCTGTTGAAGCATCCAGCGAGAGGCGATGGTGGTATGAACCAGAAGTTGGAGAGCGGTGGGTGGGCCAGCAGAGTGGGAGTCAGGAGGCCTCCTAGAAGGCCCAAGGTCAGCTACAGTGCTTCTCTTCCAGGTTCTTTCAGCAAATTTGTGAACGTGATCTCCGCCAGGACAGCCGTGGGCCATGACCGGGAGGGACAGGTGGTTCTCTTCCATGCAGACGGACAGACAGAGCAGCGGGGGTGAGTGCTGGGGCCGTGGGGCCTGGGCTGAGTCGGGCTTTGTGCAGCCTCATCCCCACCAACAGCTGTCACTGGAAGCTTGCATGCTGCTCTGATGCTGAACAGGTTTCAGCATTTTTCCAGACTTGGATGGACCAGGAAGAAAGGCCTGGCTACCTAGTTAATGAAAACCAGACCATGAGAATTCTGGGGATCACAACTTTCCGATCCACAGCTAGTCATGAGGATGGCACAAGACTGGACAGTGTTTCCCTCTGAACCCCCCACATGCTCTCTGGTCCCCCACCTTCCCAGGAACGAGGGTACCTGGTTATCCCACTTCCAAGAGCTCACCGAATACACACACTTCCCCTCACAGTTTCCCCATTACAAGGTCTCTTCCCTCCTGTGTCCTAGTTAGAAGGGAGGAGACCTCGGCTCCAATCCCAGCTTGGCGATTTGCTAGCTCTGTGACCACAGACAGGACTCAGCTGAATCTCTCTGAACCGTAACATCATCCTCCATTAGCTGAGTGGATGTGTTTGCTGTTGCCTTTTAACAGATGAGTATTACATAGCATCTATTGACTCAGTCCTAGTATTCTGGGCCAGACATCTAAGAGAGCTCCATCGGCTTCTGACTTCAGCCCACAGACAGAATCTGAGTGTCAGCCAGGCAGGTTCTTACCCGAAAATTTTGGGAAAGAATTCACTTCCAGGCTCACTCAAGTCGTTGCGGGATCATGTTCCTTCTGTCTTAGAACCAAGATCTCTGTCGTCTTGTGATTCTTCGTGCGTCAGGTTTCTCTCACTTTTGTTGCCAGGTGTAGAAAGGCCTCAGTTTTTAGGACTAACTCCAGATAACACAAATTCCTCAGGGGTATGCTCGTCCCCTCCCTCGTCAGTGTGCCGTACAACCCAACACAGTCACAAAGATGGTTCTGTCCCATCCACAGCCTTCAGGGCTCAGAATGGGACATCTTTGGGGCTGCTGCAGAAATCTGCCTCCCACAGTGGCTGTGATCTTGTCCACTGTTGAAAGTCGGACCAGTTAGACCTGATGCAATGGTGCCTCCGGCGGTCAGCAGTACTGTCTTCTGCCGCAGTATCAACCTATGGGAGATGGCGGAGTTCCTGCTGGAGCAAGGAGTGGTCAACGCCATCAACCTGGACGGAGGTGGCTCGGCCACATTCGTGCTCAACGGGACCTTGGCCAGTTACCCGTCTGATCACTGGTAAGCCCACCAGGCCTCCCCGCCCCCACCAGACCCCTGATGGGACCCCCAGCAAATACTGAGTATTACTGCGTTTTTACATGTGGAAGATTGGCGGCCACCCTGCTTCTAGCAGCACATGCTCACTTCATGCCTCTGTCAACGTTTTGGTCATTGTTCATCATGTGATTGCACAGTTCCTAGATAGCAATTTAGCGTCACTGTTTTAGCCACTTATTGTTTTGAAGTGCCGTCAAGTCGGTTCTGACCCATAGCAACTCTGTATAGGGTTTCCGAGGAGCGGCTGGTTAGCTTGAATCGCTGATCTTGCAATTCAAGCTGACTTTGCAGTCCAGCGAATTAACCCACAGCGCCAAGCACTGGGAAACCCACAAATGAATGCTGTTGGCTGTATTACACAATTCACTTAAATAAGGAGGTCTGAAACCAAGCCCCCAGTCTCTCTGAGGTTTGCCTGTACTTAAGAAGACCAAGACCACCATGCCTGATAAAACACAGGGTTTGTGATAAAGAGGAAGACCCTCTGCAAGATGGACAGACAGTGCAGGACCGGGCAGTGTTTCCTTCTGTTTTGTGTGGGGTTGCTGTGTGTTGGAACCAACACGAAGACACCTCACAGCAACTACACTAAACACTGTGCCAAGCTCTGGGGATACTGCAGCGAACAGACCAGCCATGGTCACTGTCTTGCTGCTTCACAGTTAGTGTGGTGGACGGCACGTAGTTCATTGGTATTCCAGGTCCACCGAGAGTCAATTCTGGCTCAGTGCTAGAGTGGTTGCCTTCCATGGAGGAGATCAGGGTTTGACTGCCATCCAGTCTGCCTCCTGCATTCGTCATGGAAGCTTGTGTGGTGATCTGATGCTGAACCGCTTTCAGCAGTTGTCTTAAGACTAGGAAGAAAGGTCTGGCTATTGGCTCGTGAAAATCAGCCCCATGAGAACTCTGTAAATCACAATAGTTTGATCCACATCTAATCGTGAGGGTGGTACAGAACCGGGCATGTGTATTCCGTTCCACTGTGCCTGAGTTGGAGCCAACTTGATACCTAGTAACGAAGCTAAAGACCCAAGCCTATGAAGGTGGTCAGGAAAGACCTTCCGGAGGAGGTGGCTAGACAGGGCTGAGGGCAGCCTTCCAGGCAGTAGGAACAGCAAGCAAAGGTCCTGTGGTAGGATGAATTGTGGGTGTAGATGCAAAACCCAGTTACTGTTGAATTGCCTCCAATGCCTGGTGATCCGGTGTGTGTCAGAGAAGATCTGAGCTCCGCCAGCTTCTCTTTGTTGCATGGAGGCTGAGGACCCGAGAAGCACAACACAGACCAATTCACCAGTTTCTCTGCGTCCTGCTCAGTGACTTAGATGAGATTCTTCTGGTTACTCCATAGGGTTTTCAGAGGCTGATTTCTTGGAAGTTCATCACCAGATCTTTCTTCCGAGGTAGACTTGAACCTCCAGACTTCCAGTTGGCAGCCAGGGCCATTACCCATTTGCAACACCAGGAACTCAGGAACCCATAAGAGGCCAGAGACGTGAAGGTGGAGCGAAGGCAGGAAGGGGTCAGACCCCAGGGGCTGCAGGACAGGGTGGCCAGCAGATTGGCCTCCCCTCACACGCAGCCCTTCCCCTGCAGCCAGGAGAACATGTGGCGCTGCCCCCGCCGTGTGTCCACAGTGGTGTGTGTGCGCGAGCCCCGCTGCCAGCCACCCAACTGCACAGGGCAATGCTGGCAGGGCAAGGACTGCATGGAGCTGGACTGCGGCCTCTCCCACTGCAGCGGGCACGGACTCTGCACAGAGAGTGAGTTGGGGCTCTGGGAAAGTGGCTCCCCATTCCGCCTGGGCCCTCCTCACCTGCCCTCTTGGTCTTCTCTTGGCAGCTGGCTGCCGCTGCAAAGCTGGGTGGACCGGATCCAACTGCAGTGAAGGTAACAGTCTGGCCCCAGGCACGTGGGGGAGGGTGACAGGGCAGCATCAGACTCGGGCCGCCTTAATTCCCCTTGAGGGTGTGGAGGTGGAGCTGCATCCCTGCCTACTGCTCTGGAAAGTCCCCTGTTGCTGTATGAGTGTCCCGGGGCTGCCTCCACAAACTGCCCCCCACTGGATGGCTAAAAGGAGCTAGTGGTACCACCGGTTGAGTGATGGGCTACGAGACAAAAGGTTGGCAGTTCAAACTCACCAGCTGCACTCTGAAGAAAGCTGTGGCTGTCTGCTTCCGTGAAGACTGACATTTTTAGGGACCCTCTGAGGTAGTTCTGTTGTCCTGTAGAGTCACTGTGAGTCACAATGGGCTCAGTGGCAGGAGACTGCATTTTAGGTTTGGGTGACTTAAAACATTAGAATTGTATTCTCTCACTCTGGAAGCCGGGTGTCCACAGTTGGCAGGACCACCCTCTCTCTGAGAACCCTAAAGAACCCTTCCTTGTCTCCTCCTGCTTCTGGTAACAGCAGGTGTTATTGGCTTGGGGTGGCATCGATCCAGTCTCTGCCTCTAGCTTCATGTGGCTTTTTCTCCTGTCAAAGCCAGAGCTTCAAACCAGTTCTCCCCAGTTCAGTCACTACCAATGAACAACACTAGGATGGACCTAAATTTGTAAACTATGGTGTCCTGGAACCGTGGCCAGAATGAGAACCATTATGGGTTGACACCTGGTAAAAATAAAATCTCATAGAAAACAAGGGCAGAATGCACACTGTATAATAACCAAATCTGTCAACCCACAGAGTCAGAAACTGCGGTTCCCAGCTCAAAGATGGCGCTAGCCACTTAGGTTTGACGGTGTGTCACTCTCCATGGTGCTGGAAATAATCAGTCTTCCACATCAGTCTCCCGCACACTCAGCACTTCCAAGTCTCCCATTCCAAGGCTTCAACCCTTTCTGGTTACACCCCACCCATTGCTGGCGAGTGGGTTCTGACTCATAGGGACCCTGTAGGACAGAGAGTCGACCTGCCCCACAAGGTGACAGGCTGTAAATCTCTACGGAGCCAGACTTTCTCACTCGGACTGGCTGGTGGGTTTAATCCACTGACCTTTAGTTAGCAACCCAGCACTTAACTCATTGCTCCACCAGGGCTCCTTTTCATTCTAGTTGGTGGTTTGGAATTCCAATTTCACTGCGTCGACCCTGACTGGACAGTTCTGAAGCATTTACACACCCAGGTCACGTCTCCCCTCGCTTGCCTTTTCAGGACACTAGTCATTGGATTTCAAGCCTCCTTACCCCCCCAAGTCCAGGGTGATCTCACATTGAGATCTTTAGATTAATTACAGCCATAAAACCCTTATTTCCAAATTGACTTGTCCATCAGCTAAGTGCTGGGGTGCTAACAGAAACGTTGGTGCTTAGAACACAGCCAGTGGCCCTGCAGGGGGGAGGAAGACTTGGCAAATCTGTTCCCCTTAAAGATTCCAGCCCAGGAATGTACAGGGTCAGTTCTACACTGTAATACACAGGGTCACAGTGAGTCCGAATAGTTTAGATAGGCACCTAACAACCTGTGCCCAGACTTAGGACTTGGATATAGCTTTTTGGGAGACAGTTCAACCCACTGTAAGCACCCACTGCTTCAAACCATTAAGCGGCTTGCTTTTGCACATAATGGAAACCCCAGTCTGCTTGGCCTGACGTGCCAGCCCCTGTGTGCGCATCTGCCCTCATCGCCTTCCTGCTTTCCCGGCCCGGTTCTGCCCAGGTGCCTGGGCCACCCTCTTCTTGAATCTGCAAACAAGCCAAGTGATTCCCTACCTTTCTCTTCCTGTCGAGAAAGGTCCCTGAACCACTCCTCCATCTCCAATCTGAGCATAAATTTGTCACCTCCACTGAGAAGCCACCCCTCACCAAGCTCAGTACCCTGGCCCACACCAGAGGCTGCCACGCTCTGCCCCTTGCCCTGTGTTGTGGACTGACTGGCTTGTAGAAGTCTCTCTCATATTGCCATCTCTGTAAGAGTGGGACTTGGGTCTGATGGTGTCTGATGAACATGTGACCCGCCAGGCCACCCCGGGGCCTGAGACCCTATTGTTGACCCTACGGGACTGGCCTAGGAAAGAGCAGGGCCAGGTTCTGCAAAGATTCCTCCCTCCTCCCAGCTTGTACCAATGGTTCCTTCGGGGCGAACTGTGCTCAGAAATGCCACTGTCAGAATGGAGCTGCCTGTGACCCAGTTTATGGGACCTGCACCTGCCCCCCTGGCTTCACTGGAGACGTCTGTGCACAGGGTAAGCCCAGGTGGGGCCACTTGGCCAGCCAGCCTGGAGAGACCAGGGGGTACCCTGCAAGGTTGGCCCTGGGGGGCAGGACAGGGGCGTGTCCTCTGCATGCCCATCCCATGTGCTCAGGAGGCACTGATTGGCTGCTCCCTTGTGCAGAGTGTCCGCTGGGCTGGCACGGGCCGGGCTGCCGGAGCCCTTGCTCGTGTGAGCACCAGTGTCCCTGTGACCCCCGAACTGGCAACTGCAGCCTCAGCTTGTCACCAGCTGTGACCAGCCTGCTCTCCCAAGGTAGGTGCCTCTCTGAATACACCTCACCCCCCTGTCCCTGGACCTGGAGGTCATGGGCCATCCCCCTCCTGCCCCCTCAGCCTCAACCTCTGTTTTCCAGTGAAGCAGTGTTTTCCGTCACCCAAGACCACCCTGAGGGCTGGAGAACTCTCGTTTTTCACAGGGTAGGTTGGCTTCCCAGGAGTGGTCCCCTTACCCTTGGCCTGATGCAGTGCCTAACCTTGTGGGCGGTTCTCAGGTGGAGCACAGGGACCAGCAGAGGTGGGTGAGTGGGACACCAAGACAGGCTCAGGGGTCTCAGGAGGCACCCCCTCGAGCTCCAGCACTGAGGGGTTGGGAGGGTCTCCACCCAGGTGCCCCCAGAGTTCCTGCCTCACTGTGTCTAGGATGGAACCCCAGCTGACACTGATGCTGCTGGTTAGGAATCCTCTTTGAAAACCTGTATTTCCAGGGTCCTGGCTTCTGGTGTCTGGTCTCTGGAGGTGGGACCCAGCTAAAGGGGTGAATGAAAGCCCCGGTCTGGAGGTGTCTCCTGGGAGCACCTTACAAATGCAGACCCCCCACGCCACCCTCACCCCCACATGCTCTGCCCTGGTATTACAGGGAGGGTCCTGGATCTGCATTGTTTAACGAATTGCCCAAGTCATACTCCAGCCACAGTCTTAGAGCCCAGTGTGGGACTAAAGACTTGCGGGTCCCCTCAGCAATGGCCAGTCCAAACCCACCGCTGTGGAGTTGACCCTGACTTCTGGCGACCCCGTGTGTGTCAGAACTGCACTGCTCCACAGGGTTCTGAATGGCTGACTTTTAAAAATGTTTTCTTGTGAATTATGTGATAGTTAGGGCTGACTTTTCAGAAGTGGTTTGCCAGGCCTTTGTCCTGCTACTGGGTGGGTTCTGTTAGCCCTCTGTAGCCAACCTCTTGTGCCGCCCACTGACCTTACTGTAAGAGAAGCCATTAAGGGAAAAAGAACCCTAAGGTTACACTGAGTGAAAGGCGTCCGTCCATCCCAGAGGGACGAATGTTATTAGAATCTCCTTTTTTGAAGTATTTGTACACAGGGTCACCCTGAGTCGTAATGACGATAGCCAGGAACCCGGGTGGAGCAGCTGTGTTCTCTAACACCTGGGCTCACTGTGAGCCGGGGGCCAACTGCCTGGCAGCTCACAACAGCAATCCTAAAAGAACAGAAGGTGTGGCAGCCGTAGGCCTACATCCACGTGCTTACTGGCCCCAGTCCTTGTATGTGTGAAGAGTGAGCCACAGTCCCCCGCAGGACCCTTGTGCTCACTGTATGGTCCGTCTTGGAAGGCCCCTGACTTGGTGGCCCCGAGTCGGCCTAACCACCCCCTCTCTGTTGGGTGTTTCTTTCCTGCCCTCACTTAGCACCACCTGGCTCATCCTCACTCTGACTCTGGTGTTTCTGCTGCTGCTGAGCACTGCGGTGAACGTGGCCTTGCTCTGCAGTTCCAGGGTGGAGCGGAACCAGCGGCACCTAGATGGAGATTACGCCTACCACCCCCTGCAGGAGATGAACGGGGAGCTCCCACAGCGGAGGAGGAGCAACAGCTGGGAGCCACTCACCACCCCGTCAAGGACCGAAGCCTCAGGCTGCCCATAAAGGTCTCTCCTAAAGACTCATGTCTGCGTACGCCAGCAGCTGCAGGGGGCATTCCAAGGCCACGGGCATGGACGCGCCCCAGTGGCCACTGCGCTTCACCTGTCCTGCTTGGGGATGGGCACCCCCAGTAATACCCTGCTTGCCAGAGAGACTCCACCTTCCCCTCACCCGTCTGCATCTGCTGCCCGTGAGGACCGTCCACTAGGGCCCATCCCTGTGCCAAAGAGCCCCCAGCCTGCTAGAGGAGGGGCTGCTGGCGGCCGAGTTCCTATGACTAAATCATGGCCAAGTGACAAGTCCCAGCCGGTCTCCTTGACCAGCCTCAGCCTTCATGGCCTTCTACTGACCTCATCACGGAATCTGCCAACTTAGAATTCTGCTTCCTGTCGTAGGAGCTCCTTCGAAGGGACCATGGGTACGACAGAAATCTCCATGTTTACAGACAGTTTTGTGCTGTACCTAGAGAGTTTTCTATCACTTGAATAAATTGCTATAATAAAAGGGACCACTGGATGGTGCCAGGATTGAGAGTCACCAACACTGGGGCCCTCTGAGGGCTTAATGGGCTGGAGGCAGCACAGATGGTTTCTGATGGATGGCTAACAGGTCGGCGGGTTCAAACCCACCCAGCAGCATTGCAGAAACAGACCTGATGACCTGTTACTATAAAGAAAAACTCAAAGCCATTGCTGTTGGGGAGGTTCTGACTTAACAGCAGTCCAACAGGACAGGGAGCCACAAGGTTGGCGGTTCAAATCCACCAGCCGCGCCTTGGAAATTGACTTGATGGCACTTGACAACAACAACAACATAGGACAGAATAGAGCAACCCTGAAGGGTTTCTAAGGCTGTTACCTTTATGGACGCAGATTGCCTCAGCTTTCTTCCCATGGAGCAGCTGGTGGGTTTGAACCACTGATCCTTCTGGTGGCAGCCAAGAGCTTGACAGTGCACCACCAGGGACCCTTCCATAATGAAAGTCCCATGGGACAGTTCTACTCTGTACCCCATGGGGTCACTGTGAATCACGGTCTACTCATTGGCAACGTGTTTGGTTTGCTTTTGGAGGACTTAGCAGAGAGGACTTCACCGGAGCCTTTTATTTGACTTACACATTTCATTGTGATTTAGGTGAAAAGTTTACATACATGTTGGTTTTCCATTCAACAACTGCACAGTCTCCTGGCATTGTTTGCCATCCCCATGATGTGCCACACCATCCCTTCACCCCAAATTTCTTGTTTCTGTTCATCTGGTTTCCCAGTGCCTCCCCGTCTTCTCGTCTTTGTCTTGGGGCTAATGTCCCTTTTGGTCTCGTTGATTGTTCTGGGAACATTTTTCTCATGGTTGGTGATGTGCCGTGGAGTTGCTTCCAACTCATACTGACTCTGAACAGGGGTTCTGAGGCTGTAAATCTTTACGGGAGCAGAAAGCCTCATCTTTCTCCCCTGGAACTGCTGATAGTTTCGAACTGCTGACCTTGCGGTTCGCAGCCCGATTCATAACCACTATGCTAAATTTTAGATGCCAATATGTTATTTGGTTGACAAGTGACAGAAGGGCTTTCCCAGTCCAGCAAGTCTGGTCCTCATTCTGAATTTCAGTTTAGTTCTACGTTTTTCTCCCCTTGTAACTGGGACCTTCTATTTTGTCCCTGGTCAGTAGTGGTAGCTGGGCGCCATCTACTTCTGGTCTCAGACTAGAGGAGGCTGTGGTTCATGTGGGCCATCGGTCCTTTGGAATAGTCTCTTCCTTGAGCCTTTGCTTTTCTTCATTTTCTTTGTTTCAAGCAGAAAGAAATAGTTGTTTCTTAGAGGGTCACTTGCAAACTTTGAAGTCCGTAGATGTTACTCCTGTAGAACACTGTCTTTATATAGGCACTGCTATACCAGTTGGTCTAGATGGTCCCAAGACTGGTCCTACACCTTCAAGCCCAGTAGCTCAGTCCTGCGGCATGTTTGATTATATCTAAGAGCTGTCATAACCGTGCTTTCTACATGTTCTGTTACATATATGAACATACGTGCAGCACACACAAATATGTACAAGGGGGCTTCAGAAAGGTCATGGAGAAACTAATCTTTTAACTCCAACTTTCCATGAACTTTTTGAAGTCTCTTCATGTTAAAAAATGCACCACCATACCTTTATATGTATTCACACGGGTGCTAACCTGAGTCTCCAAACTCTTCCAGCAGAGGTCAGAGATGAGCAGCCCAAAGCCAAATCCAGCTCCCCAGGGCATTTTGTCCAATTCAGTGCTTCAATGTTTATGATTGGTTCTCACTCAGCCTAGTGTCTTCAAGGTTCACCCACGTCATAGCGTGTATCCGAACAGGCACACACATCACCTGGAACATGTACTAAGGTGCAGAGTCTGGGATGGGGACTGAGATGCATTTCTAGGAAGTTTCCAGCCTTTGCTGCTGCTGGTCCACAGACCACATACTTTAAGTGGTTGTTAAATGCCGTCTACTTGACCCCCAAGAAGATGAATTGGCCAAATGGCAGCATCGATGGACTCAAGTGTGGCAACAGTAGTGAGGTTGGTCCAGGATCGGGCAGTGTTTCGTTCTGCTGTGCATAAGGTCTCTATGGGTTGGTACCGACTCAATGGCACCTAACAACAACAATACTTGGCTCCAAGTCAATAATGAGGGTTTCTAAGGAGCAACTGGTGGGTTTGAACCACTGACCCATGAGCATCACACCAGGACTCCACTTTGGGTAGCAAAGGTTTTAGTCCACACACTGTTTTGTTGCTGAGATGATACTCAACAAAATATATATCAAGTCAACCATTATCTACATTCAGTGCCTGGTTACATTCTCACTGTTCTGAGATGTTCCTCCCCATTAACATCAACTCACTGCCCTCCAAGGTTCCTATCTAATATATCAAGTTGCCATGGTAAATTTCATCCCATAAAGGTAGTTCTTGGAGTCCTGGTATGGCGCTCGCTGCAGGATAATGCGCTAGACCGCAAAGTCAGTTTGAGCTGCAAGGTCAGCCGTTCAAACCCACTAGCTGCTACTCAGAAACCCTATACAGGGTCGCTATGAGTTGGAACCAACTCGATGGTGCTTACCAACAACAAAAGAGTTCTTAGGAAGAATATAAGGTTCAAGGCAGACATTCTTTACTAGTGAAGCTAAACTGTTTAGCTTTAAGACTTCAGGGGATATTTTTGGTTGCAGGTTTAACCAGTTTATATAAAATGTAGATCAGTTACGAGATCCAGAGATAACTCAAAACAGCCCAGAGTTCTGGTGTCTCTCACAGAAAGAGCTCCACAGTCTTGAGCTGGTCAAGTCAATTCCAACACATGGCGATCCTGTATAGGGTTTCCAAGGAGCAGCTGGTGACTTTGAACCTCCAACCTTGCAGTTCAAACGGCTTTGCAGTCTGGCACATTAACCCACAGCGCCACACCAGGACTCCTTTAAGCTGGTGTACTGGGACCCATTTCAGTGGGATCGTAGAATATGAGTCCTTGTGTGTGATGCTACTTTCCCTCAGCATGATGCTCTCAAGATTCCTCCAGGTTAGAAGGTCACATCTCTTTAGGGCTCCATGACATTCCACCTTATGGGCCGACTACATTCTGTTTATTCATCGCCTGGTGCCAACGCTGCAGGTTTTCATCGTAAACTGCCACATCTGCATGGTCCTCCGGGACTTGGTGTTAAAACTCCACTGGGAAATATTCACTGTGTATTTTGCTTTCTTTTTGTGAATAAAGTTACCCCAGGGAGCACTGATACATTGTTCCCACGTTCAGGGGAAGGAAATAGCCAAAGAGCTTTGGACCAACTCTCAAGCACCTTAGCATCCCCAGAGTCCTAGTGGCGCAGTGGGTTAAGCATAGGGCACTTAACTGAAAGGTTGGCGGATCCAACCCACCAGCTGCTCAATGGGAGACAGCAGAGGCAGTCAGCTTCTATAAAGACGAACAGTCTCAGAAGCCCTCAGGAGCAACCCTACTGTGTCCTCCAGGGGTGTGGGGAGTTAGAATCCACTTGAGGACAGTGGTTTTGGTTTGGGTCTTAGCTTCCCTTTGATGTGTTCTTAAAACAAGGCTGGCTGCACATCAGATTGTAACCCCCAGGGAAGGTTCTAGAATATCTACCCAGATTCACTGATTCTGAATCTCAGGGTGGGAGGTCCAGGTTCTAGGAATGTACAGAGTGCTGTGGAAACCATCACCCTGAATGCTTCCAGCTCTGCAGAGTACATCTGTCTCCTCTGTGTTGCTGCTGATAGCCCAGTTAGAAAACTACAATACTGTGTCATCAATTTTGCAGAAATCTAGGCCCCGGGTGTGTGCAGGGGGGGGCGGGGGGCAGCACCTTACCTGAGGAGAGCCTGAGCCCTGTCCCACTCATCCTCCCTACTTGGCTACTAACCGGAAAAGTTGGTGGTTCAAATCCACACAGAAGCACCTCAGAAGAAAGGCCTGGTGATCTGCTTCCTAAAGGCCACAGCCATTGAAAACCCTGTGGAGCATAGTTCTACTCGGACACTTGAGCTGCCTTCAGTTGGAGCACCAAAGACTCAAACCCACTGCTCTGGAGGTGGTTATAACTCAGCAACTCTGTAAGGACAGAGTGGAGCTACCCCCATAGGGTTTCCCAGGCTGTAAATATAGGAACAAACAGCTTGCTGGTGGTTTCACAGTGCCAACCTTTATGTTTGCAGCAGAGTGCTTAACCACTGCACCACCAGGGTGCCTTAGAGCAAAGGATATTTTTTTCCTGGCTACTATTCAAACCCTCTGTTTTATTACTAATTCTATTTGTTTATTATTAACTTCCAGGACCTTGTCTCAGGTCCTAGAAGCAGGACCTGAGACAGGAATGTGAGGACAGTGAGCTCGTGCTGGAGAGACAATGGGGCTATATACATGGTGCATCAGTAAGGGGTTACCGCTGTGGGCAGCTGGGGCTCAGCGCTGCAGGACTTCTGAGAGTGTGTGTCAAGCACGTCCCACGCTGTGCCGCTTGAGAACAAGAAAGCTTCTCTTGGATGTACCAGCTCCTGCTCATCACTGGTGGAGGGTCAGAATGTGGACCAGAAGTCTCTCAGTCAACAGTTTTGTGTGCTGGGCAGTTCTCACATCAACCAACAGGC